CTGAAATAAAGGAAGACGACGACGACGCCATTGACGACGATGATGATGATGATGTTGATATTGATGATGATATGAAAGCTGTCAGCAAAGATGCTGGTGTTGATAATGATCACAACGATGATGATGATGATGATGATGATGATCTCAAATTTGGAAAAGCTAAAAAGAAAAAGAAAGCCATAGCAGACGATGATGCCGAAGACGATGATAACGACTTTGAGATGGGTTGTGATGATGCAAGAGATGAGAACAATGGCGTCAAGCGTAAAAAACCAGCAAAGAAATTATATAAACGGGAGCACACGTCATCTTCATCTTCTTCTTCTTCTTCTTCCTCCTCCTCATCACCATCTGTTGACAGCATAGAGATGGAAGGAGATAATGATGACGATGATGATGCTAAAACAATAAAACCCAAAAACAAAAACAGCAGTAGCAGCAACTTAAAAACTACAAACAGCAAAAAGCGAAGGAGCATCAATCAGGAAGATGATGTCGATGACGAAAGCAATGACGTCACTAAAAAGGGAAAAGACGACGATGAGGATGAGGATGAAGATGATAACGAAGATGGCGATGATTGGATGGTAAGGAAGAGATTGCGTAGGCAGAAGAAAGATATCAGTTACAAATTTGAAGAGTTTGATTCTTTAATCAGTGGCGCTATCGAAGATGATGTTAAAGAGACATATGGGGCTGGTTTGTTGTTTCTTTATTTTGCATTCATTCCTCTGTTTCTTCACTCCATCCACCAATCACTAATTGTACAGGAAATTATGGTAGAGGAAAGGACATGGCGAACATAACAGGTACTAAAAATAAATCTTCAGAATCTCCGAAAACCGAAAATACTAAAAAGAAAAGACGGAAAAGAAAATTTACCATACTGGACAGCGATGATGATGATGATGGAGGCGACGAGTATGATGATGATAGCGAAGAATTTAAAATGTTAATTGATTGGTTATGCTATATGTATTGATTATATTAGCATAAATTTGCTTACCTTAAACATAAATTAGCATACATTAAGAGTGGCAGATCTAGGAAGGAAGGGGAGGGAAGGGGCGGGCCATGCTCCCACGTTGTGAGCAGTTTTATTGTTAAAAGTCAGTGAAACTCAGTTTTTAAACAGGAATATTTATCGTTTTTAACGACACGAATTATTTGAATTTGTCATTACGTATTACTATAGTTCGATTTTTGGAATGTGGCGTTGATATAGTGACTTAATTTTTGATTTTTATTATCTTAGATCGACTGAACAGTTTTCAGTAACTAAACCAGCACTATAGCTCGATTGTTTTTTGAAATGTGGCGCTGATATAGTAAATTAAGCTTATAGTTTTTACTATTCATGCGGTGGCAGATCGAAGGGGACCGTTGTGAGCAATAGTTTTATTAAGGTTCTGTAAGACTTAGGTTTTAATCAAAAGTTAATGTGATAAACCAAAAAGCCAAATTTTAGCCTCACTAGAACAAATTTTGTTGTTTCTTGGCCCCCCGGTCAAATTTCAAAACATTTTTAAAATTTTGGCCAACCCCGTTCAAGTTGTCTAGATCCACCGCTGTGCATTAACATGTTTTTGAAATTAATTTAAACAACCAATAGCGACGAGGACAGCAATGACGAAGATGAGGATGACGATGAAGACGAGGATAACCTCGATGATTCAGATACAGAGGTCAGCCAATCAGATGACGAGAAAATGGACCACAAGTCACGCAAAGGTCAAAGTAATGAAAAGAAGAAAGGAGAGATGATGAGGAGCAGGAAGAGGAGTTCTGCTCTTAAAGATCACGGTAATGAAGCAATTAATTGATGATGATGATAATGCTTGTGGTGTTAATAATTTTCATTCTTGTGTTTCTTCACTCTTAAAAATAAATAACATAAAGAACTTAAACTTATAACTTTTAAAAACACTTCGTATTTATCGCCTTTATTTATCGATGCAGTGCTAGACGATGACGAGGATGAAGAAGATGATGGCTCTACTACTCGCAGTAAGTTTCACAAGAAGCTACCAGCTCGCAGGGCAGCTGCTAAGAAAGCTATAAGTTATTTTGAAGATGATGATGACGACGATGAAGATGACGATGATGGCGATGCTAGTAAACGTTCCAAGAAACTTGATAAATACGAGCGTAAATCACTTAATAAAAACGATCCTTCCTACCGAAAGAAAAAAGGTGATGACGATGATGACTACGAAGATGACGACAACGACGATGATGAGAAGAATAATAAAAACAAGAACAAAAAAGATGGTCTTAGTAGAAATAAAAAGAGAAAGAAAAGAGGAATGAGTGGAAGTGATGATGACGACGATGATGACGAGTTTGTTCCTAGTGACAAAGATGATTACAGTGACGATTACTATGAGAGCAAGTATTATGACGATGACGATGATATGAGAAACTTCATAGCGTCGTCATCATCGTCTTCTTCATCCTCTTCTCCCAGAATGCCAAGGAAGAAAAAACAGTTTAAACCTTCATCATCATCATCGTACTCCAGATTGAAACAAGAAAAAAAACCCGTGTCTAAAAACAGAAAAAAAACATCAACAACAACAAAGCTAAAAGGGACCAAAAACCAAAAAACCACTTCAGCTGCAGCGACATCAGCCACACGAAAGAAGAGAAAAAACAAGAAACCCTGGCAATACTCCGACAGTGATGATGACGAAGAGGATGAAGAGAACCAGTTTGCTCTGCAATCGTCATATTCCGATGATGATTTCACTTCCTACGTAGCTCCACCACCCAAAAAACGAGGCAACCGACCTCCACCCAGGTACAAAAATGTTCAGATGGAATGTGATGACACTAACAACGACGCTGCTTCTTCTGCCACTGCTACTGATAATAATGTTACCGTTAAAGATAAAGTAGATAGTTCAATTCCTACGGTTGCTTCTCTACCTACTAATGCTTCTACAAAGGCTAAAAATTTTGTTTATACTACTCCTACTGCTGCTGTTGCTGCTGCTATTGCTTCAAGTAGTTGTAGTAGTCGCGTTGTGGCCAGTAATGAATGTAAAAGTGTAATTAGTGCTAGCAGCAGCAACAGTAATAATAGTATCAACAATAAGACCATTGATGCAAGATCTAGCATACCGGCGTTAATAGCTATTAGCGATCAAATGAGAATGCCGTGCGTGTACAATGACGTTAATATTAGCAGTCCTATTAGTGCTAGTAACGGCAGTAGTACGGTAAGAAACTTCACTAAAAACAACTATGTAAATAACAACTATGTCGTCACCAACAACAGCAGCAACGTAAACATGCGAACGTTTGGCATGAGTCCGCCATCTATGACGTCACGTATGTCTACAACAGCAACAACAACACAGCGCTTCAACGCTAACATCAACAACACTAACATCATCAACAACAACATTAATAATCTCAATGTTTCATCCGCAAATGCTAACAACACCAACCACAACAAGTCTAATAACAATTACAACGAAAAACTTAACAAGTTCTCTATCCAGAATATCACCAGCAACAACTACAATAACAACAACAGCAGCAATAAAATTAACATCACTAACAATAACAACTTTTTAAACGTGCACCAAAACAACAATTTCAATATTATACAAAGAAGTAGCAACACCAACGACAACAACAGCTTGTTAAGTAACAGAATCGTCGGCTACAATATAAATCGTGACAATTCTATACGTTACAATTTTGTAAACAACAACGTCAATAATAATAATAATATAGTTGATGACGACGAAGACGATGATGTTGATGGCGAGGAAGGTATAATTGATGAGGATCTCTTGCACCAAGATCTCGATGTGGCCGAGTTCTTCAACCAGGAACATGTTAACTTATGATGAAGATGATGTTGTTGTTTTTGTTGCTGCTGCTGCTGATGTTGTTGTTGTTGTTGTTGCTGCTGCTGATGTTGTTGTTGTTGCTGCTGCTGCTGATGTTGTTGTTGATGTTCATGATGGCGTGACGACGATAATGGTGGCGACAAAGTTGATGTCGCGCGTGTTCAGAAATGAACTTATTGAAATGTTATAAAATTTACTGACTTTTAAATCATTCATTTGATTAGTTAGTGGAATAAAAACGGTTATAATACTAATTGTTATTTATATCGCTATTACTATTATCATTATGATATTTTGTTGTTTCTACAAAATTTATTGATTATAGCATCCATTCTTTAAGTTTCTCTTTGGTTTGTAAGGTATGTAGTAAGTTGAGAGGTATTGAAGTGTGTGCTGATGTGTATATATGTTAATAAAATTTAAATTGATATGTCTTTGTATATATATCTGAAGTTGTTAATTATGGTTTTATTTATATGTATTATATATATATATATATATATAATATAATATATATATATATTTAATAATTTTCGTTAGGGTCATTAATAATATTGTTTATCGTTTTTAATTTAGATAAACTTTCAGTTCAATTTATTTAGTTATAAATAAGTATAGAATGTATGTATATATTTATATATAATATTTTGGTTTAATTTATATATATATTTAATTTATACATTATATATATATATATATATATATATATATAGCATAAGATTTTATTAGAATTTATTTCATTGTCGATGAATTATCAAATGGCAGTGATATTTATTTTTGTCCTGTTTTTACTTTAAAAAAATTTATTGTTATTATTTGCTTATTTAATGTGTCGTTATAGAATTTTATTTCTCTTCATTCATTCAGTCATTCATTCGCTCATTTATTTATTTGTCATATGTGTGTATATATATATATATATATATATATATATATATATATATATATATATATATATATATATATATATATATATACGAAATAACTGGAATTTTAAAGAATTCGATAATTTTTCTTAGTATGTTATAAAACTCGATGATTTTTGGTAATTTTTTATTTCATTATTTAACTGAAGTTGAATCATTCGATTAATTAACTTGACATTTAATTAGTTGATTAGTTAGTTGATGTGATGAATTATTTCGGCTCCTTATGCTGGATGACTTCGAAGTCTTCACCGTCACACAGCATGGAAGAGAGACGGAAGACCTCCCATATGGCATGCTCTCTGTCTGCATTCTTAATTATTTCGTTACCTTCTATGTAGAGCCTTACAAATTATGACGTTAATTATCAATAATTATTGTGCTAGTTTATGCATTTTTACAGTGTCCACGGGCGAATTCAGACGGAGGGGTGCTCAAATTGAAATCGCCGGCGACATTTTTGCTCATTGCGCAATTTGTTAGCCAACTTTGCAATTTAAAACGGGCTTGGCTTTTTGTTGTAACGTATAGCAAAAACGGTAATTAGACAATATATGTCGGCTGAGTATAAAAAGAAATTACAAAAAATCATTCTTTTCCGATGTGTGATAATGCCCCCTCCCGAGTCCCCAAAATTCGCCATTGATGGTGCTAGATATGAATTATTATGAAATTCATAAGTTTTAAAGTTTTATTTGTGACAGGCGTAGCATACGGACGAACCAGATTTGAATGTTGTGAATGTGCTTGCTTATTTCGTTTCTCCTAGCCAGCCAGTTAACCATGAGAAACGGGGTAGCCAGGTCTACAGTGCCCGCATTCTCTACCAAGCCCTGCAAAGTAATTTAAAACATTTCTTGTACATGTGCTTCAAAATTTTGAATTATTCACTTCATCAGCAATTTAAGACATTCAATTGCGTGTACGTGCCTCAAATTATTAAAATATTTTACTTTTTCATTGTCTAGGCAATCTTTCAATTGCAACTTCGGATTGCCGAATGTTTCAAATATGCCAAGTGAGGAATTGACGCGAGATTCAGGTCTTGCCGTCATTTTAACATGCCTCAACTGTTTTGAACTGTTCGTTCGGTCAAAAATGTGAACTGCTCGAAGGTATGTATGTTAGTTAGACATTTAAATGTGGTGCAGTAATGCATTAATAGATAGATTGATAGGTAGGTGGATAGGTTGTTAGGTAGTTTGAAGGTAGATCTGTTAGCAGTTAGATCATTAGCAGAAATAGTTTAGACACGACAGGTTGCCCAATGTTATGTACGTGTAACTCTTTACTGGTTATGACGGCAATGTGAGGCAGTTTGCACGTAGGAACGAGATGAACTTCAAACGGGCAGTTTTCAACGTTGGCTGGCACTACCAATTTCTGATCGCTGCCTATAGGTTTGCACAGATTTGATACATATGACTGTGAACTGACTTTGAATTCTGTCAATATTAATCCCATCACTAGGATCATAATTATTTTAAAAATTATAGTGAAAAGTAACATGGTGCTAGTAGGGTGTGCAGTTTTCATTTTAAGTGTATGGTTTAAACCATCGAGAAAGACGATGTATAATGTTTATAAACAGCATGTACACGTAGCAGGCAGTTTGTTTTTTCCGTTCGAAAGATCCATCCTATCTTAGCCTAAATTTTTATTTTACCATTTTGCGCTCATGTCTTGTTTACTGGAAATTAACTTTTAGTCAAAGTTAATTGTACATAAATTTCAAATGATCGTGCTCCGATCAGAGATTTTTTAAGAAATTGCTATCAAAATTAGTGAAATTTGTTTGAAAATTAGCGAAAATAAGGAATGAAAATGTTTAATTTGGAGCTTGTATCAAATTTCATCTTATCGTCTGGCGTCCTTGCCGTGTTTCTGAACAATATCTTCACTAATTATAACATGACTTCTAACTCCAGCTGGATGATCTGGGAATGTTAGTTGAGTTAGGCGTCTATTCATTTTTAATTAGTTTTTATATCAATTTAATTAAATTAAATGGCATAAAAGTTTTGTCAAAAATGATTGATAAGTGTTGCAAAAAACTATCAAAAAATAAAATGATTTAAAAATTTGATTTGATGTTTGATCTTTGATGGGATAAAAATTTTGTCAATTCACTGAAAATAAGAGTCAGAATAAAATATATTTAATTTAATAAATAAACTGTTAGTGGTGATGTATGGCATGTGTTTGGTCTCTAACATATTCTGCTTGTTGCCATCAGGACAAGTGACAAATGATAATGAGCGTGTTTACAGGTATGCTTAATAATGTCATATTAGAGGTTAAACATTATTTAATTTTTAGTTGTAGTTCAATTAATTATTAATTCATCTAATTTTTCAAAATGTTATTGTGAGACAACTAATACCAATTTTTTGTCTTGAAATAAATATCTTTTCAACATTTTATTTTATCTTTTGCAGAACAAAAAACAGTGGGTTGTTGTGCTGCAGTATATTGCCACTCATTTGCATTCTCTCTCCATCTCAGTCCACTTTCCACCAGATCAAATGTTAACAATCTTGATATATATTTCATTCACCAACATAGATAACTTATTAGCATAATTTATTCATGAGTGTGATTTACTCATTAGCTAAATTTATTTACACACAGGTCTGTTCATTGTTGGTTCCTATCTCATTTCACTGATGTTAACAATAAGAGAGATAGTAAGGTATAAGGAGGGGCAGGAGGTTTTGTATTCGTCATCATACATTGCCATGTTATCATTCATGCTGTCTCTAGCATTGTGGATGGTGGTTTTCTTCAATAGAGTCAGTTAGTGGAAAGATTTTTGTGTATGTGTTTGTACGTGTCCATGTGCACGCAAATTACCAAAACGCACACATGTGCACAGATTTCCAGTTGTTTTTGTTCCTGCTGTCAATACTGTTGATTCAGTTACTCTCTCTCTTATATGTCCCACGCATCTTCCCGGGGTGTTTCAGTGCTGGCGAAATAAGGGTGCTGTGCCAGGCTGGAGCTCTCTTTCTCTTCTACTCTCTTTCTCACTTTTTTTCATTGCAGGTTTGTGTGTTTGTGTTTGTTTAGGTGTCTCTCTGTCTGTCTATCTGTGTGTGTTTGTTTGTGTTTGTGTGTGTGTGTGTTTGTGTGTGTGTGTGTGTGTGTGTGTGTGTGTGTGTGTGTGGTTGCGTTTATCGTTTGTAAATTTTGTGTTTATATGTATTTGTAATATGTTAATGTTATCATTAAGATACACCCACATGGTCGAATGTCATCTGCATCGTCGTCGTCATCATTAGAATACCCTCAAATGGTTATCTTTTCTTATGTTAGTATCAGTAGACTTTTGACTGATTGGTGAATTTTTTTTTCATTCACTAACTCAGTCATTTATCTGCTATTTTGTAATAAATAAATAAATAAATAAATTCAGATAATCCTGACATACTGTGGAATCTTCCTGATCTCGATATACACGACGAAAGACATAGACGATGGTTGCAGGAAGTTCTACATCTTCTTATTCCTCCTCTTTTTTATATTTGTCATCCCAATGTCCGTAACTTGGTTGAAGTCCAACCCTGCAACATGGCTGTTGCTCTATCTGACGAGGAGCAGGCTTAATGTTAGTGAATCGCGCCTGCTTGCTGTTCTTTTTATTACTTTCTATTGTCGATAGTGTTCATCATCATTTGACTCTAGTACTGGCTTATGTTTGCATTTAAATTTCCAGATAACCTTGATAGTATATTGGATCTTTTGTTTGGTTGTCACCGTGGCAACATCTCTCGTGATCACTAACGTGAGAAATGGCGTATTTGAGCACAGACGAAACTTCGATGAAGGAAGTGGTGAAGATGATGACGACGAGGAAGATCATGGTGGCGGTGATGATGATTTTAGAATGAAATATAAGCGGGGTATTAAGAAACACAAAATAAATGAAATGCAAAGAGTTACTCGAGTTAGAAAGCTGTTCCACTTATTGATGGTTCTCATCTTTTTGCCAGGACTGTATTTTAATAAGCAGCTTCTTTGTTTGGCTTCCGTGTGTGCACTTGTTCTATTTCTTGTGGTTGAGGTTAAAAATTTAAGCAAATTTTATTTTTGCAATTTGTTAGTGATATCATTTTAAATTTACAATAGGCTGCAAGAATTTTGCGTGTGCCACCATTCTACCAGCCAATCGGAAGACTTTATAGAGACTTTCTTGATAGCAGAGATTCGGGATTGGTCGTTTTGACACACATCTATCTTCTCATTGGCTGCTCAGGTCCTCTCTGGACATCTATTGGTCAACCCGATTTGAATGATCTCTTCCCATTGGCTGGAATTATTTCAGTTGGTGTGGGTGACACCATGGCATCATTTGTTGGTTCAAAATATGGAAGATTGAAATGGAAATGTTAGCAATTGTTTCCATAATTTAATTTTCATTATGAAAAATTAAATTGATTTAATATTTAGTTTAGTTTACCAAAACTAATAAATGTTTGTGAACAGATTCTGATAAATCTGTCGAAGGGACAGTTGCATGTGCATGTTCTCAGCTTATTTTCATATTTCTACTGAACAAATTTGGAAGTTAGTTATTTGTATATTTATTAATTACGCTTAAAGATGATATTAAAAAAGAATAATGATTAATCATTATTATTTAACAAATTAATCTTCCTAGTCATCAGCTTGGTGGGTGTGGCAAACGGAAAGATTGTGGCAGCAGTTGTATTGACGTCCTTGTTGGAAGCGTTCACAGATCAAATTGATAATTTAATATTACCACTCTTCATGTATTTGCTACTACTTATATGATGTCGTTCGTTATGGTAGTTTGTTAGTTGTTCATTTTGATCTAAATTTAATCCAATATTTTATCAGATTTTGATTTATTTTTATCCCTAGTGTTGTTGGCGCTGTTGCTTTTGTGTTTAAAATTTGTTAGCTTTATTTAATTCGTGTTTGTAATCATGTCCTCCAATTAGTATAGCACAAGGTTTTTTTTTCTGTGTCTATGCATGTGAGTTTGTAATTTTATATTTATTTTTATCAGTATTTACAATCAAAATTTTATTTAGTCATTTTCCAACAGTTTACTTGACTTTTAAGGTTGCGTTATCTACCAAACATTTAAAGGTTTTCCCGGTGTCACTTGTTGCGATTGCGATGTTTTATTTAATGATCGTTCAGCTACCGTTGAAAGTTGAACGACGTTGTTTAGCGCTCTATCATTTATTTTATGCATGTAAAAAGTAAACAGATCATTTTCGATCCGATCATTTAAAGAGCCCAAGTATTAAGATGGCGGCAAGTAGGATGCTCAGAGCTGTCGTTAGTGAATTTTTAAATTCCTCCGTTCATTCAAAATTTACTAGCTTGTTTTACTGTATTTTTTTTAGTTTTTAAAATTTGAGAGTTGATAGCTTCGACCTTCATTTCCAATTTCATTAATTTATAAATTTTCATTTTCCACAATCCAATCAGAATTTGAATTGAGAATTGAATTTTAAAATTTTATGAATTTAGTTAGTTTGTTTAATGAACTTTATTAGTTTATTGTTATTCTATTTAAAAAAACGAAAAATCAAATCAGGCTCCTTATCTCAAGCCATTTTCAAGAAATTTCTCCTCTGCAGAAGTAATTTCAACTTCTTTTTTTTTTAATATTTTTATTTTGCAACTAATTTTTTGTATTAATTATACCCCCCATAATTAATTAATGAATTAATTATTGAATAATTAATTAATAATTAATGTTGATTAAATTAAATTACATTCAAATAAAATTTCAACTTGATGTCTAGTTGCATGTTTTATTGTTTTTGATTAAATCTTGAATTATAAAACAGAAATTGCGTATTTATTTTTCCAGATAAGGACAGTAACTTTGATACCTGGAGATGGTATAGGTCCTGAAATATCTGCATCTGTCCAACAAATCTTCAAAGCTGCTAATGTCTATTTGCTTTTTTTGTTGTTAATATTTCTGGATAAGGATATTTAACTAATTCCTTATTTCTCAACACACTAGGTGCCCATAGCATGGGATGTAGTAGATGTAACTCCAGTTAAAGGTCCAGATAGTCGACTGCACATCCCACAGAAAGCTATAGATTCAGTGAACAAGCATGGGGTTGGATTGAAGGGCCCACTCATGACCCCCATTGGGAAAGGGCATCAGTCTTTGAATTTGGCCCTAAGGAAGTGAGAATGTGATAAGGATGGATATTTTATTAACGTGTGGTTTTCAAAAAAAATAATTGCTCCAACATCGATAGATAGATTGATTGATTAATCAGTTTGTTGTTTGAGCAATCAAAGAAACAGTCTAATAAACAAGCCTAAAACACTTGATCAGAGAGTTTCACTTGTATGCAAATGTTCGACCATGCAAGTCGCTAGAGGGCTACAGAACCTTGTACAACAATGTCGACCTGGTGACCATCAGGGAGAACACTGAAGGGGAGTACAGTGGTATTGAACATGAGGTTGGTAAATCTACAGGCATGTATACATGAAGTTGTGCACACATGATGTTGTACATGAAGTTGTACATACATCATTTGCACACACACAGATTGTAAGTGGAGTTGTACAGAGTATCAAGTTAATAACAGAGAGAGCTTCAAGGAGAGTGGCAGAGTTTGCATTCAAGTATGCCAAGGATAACAACAGGCATAGAGTTACTGCTGTCCACAAAGCTAACATCATGTTTGTGTCGTCTATTTATTTGCACTTGATCTTTTTCTCTTTCTCACTACCCTTCTCTCTTTTTCTTTCACTTTCTCTCTCTCTCTCTCTCTCTCTCTCTCTCTCTCTCTGTCTCTCTCTCTCTCTCTTTAATTCTGTCCTATATATGTACATAATTGTTCATATAGGAGGATGTCAGATGGATTGTTTCTAAAGTGCTGCAGGGAGGCTGCTGAGCAGAACCCGGAGATAACATTTGATGAGATGTACCTTGATACCACATGCCTCAAGGTCCACCTCTCTTTCTTTACATCCTTTACATATGTTTTAATATATATATATATATATATATATATATATATATATATATATATATATATATATATATATATATAACTGTGGGTGATGTTAAGAAATATCACCCTGACCCTAACCCAGATTTTATATATATGTATTATAACACAGAAATATATTTTTGTATTGTAGTATATAAAGGAACATATATTTATGTATGTACGTGAATGTAGATGACCCAGGACCCAACTAGATTTGATGTTCTTGTTATGCCAAATCTGTATGGAGACATACTGAGGTAGGTCGGGTCAAAATATGTAGATCAAAGATCACTAATTATTCGGGTCACAATTATGTTTCTATTTAATGCATCTGGGTCAGTTAGGGTTGAGGTCGTTTCTGTTTATAGATTTTGCACTCGTCTGTTTGTCTGGCTGGCTTGCTAATATTATGGGCTTGTGTTTATTATTTAACATAACTTTTTTGTATTTTAATTAAAATTGCATATCTTTGTAAATATATCGAGTCACGTAACTAATCAATCATTCAATCAGACGGCCATTAATTCTATCAAACAATCATTCAACTCAATTGATACCTATTGATTGGTCGGCTAACAGTTTTTTTTGCAACAAATTTGTATTGATAAAAATAGTTTATTGGCTTGCATAATATAACAAGGATTGCCTCTAGGCTTTTGTTATCAATTGTCATTAACACAATTTAAGCTGCACTTGAGTTTTTTATTTTATATCCTATCAGGTGTCTAACTGTCTATGTTGTTTTCTGTGAGGTGTTCGTTCGTGTTTGTTATGCTGTTACTTTTATCGCTAATATGTTTGTCGTCAATGCTGTTCAGTGCGTCTGTCTGCATCATTCTGCATGGCACTTTATTTTATACAATCGATAACACATAATTGATACTCGTTGTTGTTGTTGTTGTTGATGATGATGTTGTTGTTTTTTGTTGTCGTATTGTCATTAGGTTGTTGAGGACCCGAATAGGTTTGATGTACTTGTCATGCCTAACCTGTATGGAGATATCATGAGGTCTGTTATTGCTGTTGCTGTTGTTGTTGATGTTTTGTATCTTTTAAGTTTGATTTACTATATCCTCATTTATAAAACGAATGTCTACCTTCTGTGTGCATGTATTTAACATATAAATTGTGTAATGTATTTTGTTGAATTCTATCGAAATCATCAGCTTGGTCAGTTTTTCTTTTACAAGTTTTCCAACTTTCTTATCAACTTCTTGATTCACGATTTGGATTATAAACATAAGAAGTTGGAAAACTTGTAAAAGGATCTGATAACTCTGACTAATTCAACAAAATATGAACGTATTCGTTCATTTGTTTAGTATGGGTTATTATGTGTAACGGCGGTTGCCAGGTATATTTGTGTTGCTTTTTAATAAATATTAATTATAATTTATATTTCTATATTTAACATATAAATTGATTAATAATATTATATTTTTAATTAATTAATTAACTAGTTATAGAGTTATAATATGTGACATCTATCAACTTGTTAACCTTCTTAAGCTATTTTGAACGAATTGCATTTGGCCGAGTGTTATATTTTTTGATTCTAGCTTATGTATAAAATATTGTATAGGAATAATAAATATTAGATATAATTATGGTATAGGTTTTATTCTTATAAATATAATAAAATTTCAATCATATTCATTTATATTAGCTGATGCACGTATTAAACGTTTCATTATTAATCGCACTGTCATTAAACACATCGACCAACATTTTTTTCATTAACTTTATGATGATTAGATACTTGCTTTCTTACGCGCGCACACACACACACACACACATGCATACACACACATACACACACACTGAAAATATTTCCGACTAGTGATCTGTGTGCTGGATTGATTGGAGGTCTTGGAGTAACACCAAGCGGAAACATCGGTGAAAATGGCGCAATTTTTGAATCTGTTAGTATTGGTTCGTTTATAGTAGTGTGTCAATGTGTACAATCTCACACTCCGCAGTGTGTACTATCATACACTCCGCAGTGTGTACAGTTATACACTCTACACGTTTCACGCTATTATACATTACACACCAAATTATACAAAATGCATTAGACACACCTTAATGAAGTTCTAAAAAACACTCGTACACACACACACAGGTACACTATTAAATTTGACACACACGCGCGAACAAGTGTAATTGAATTATGCACGACGACGCGCTGCAGGTGCATGGCACGGCTCCGGACATTGCGGGGCACGACAAGGCCAACCCGACGGCCCTCCTTCTGAGTGGGGTCATGATGTTGCGCTATATGAACCTAAATTCGCACGCCGATATGATTGAGAAGGCCACCTTTGCTACTATCAAAGAGGGAAAGGTTGTGCTCATATATATCTAATCTCCTTCACTCCTATGTGCTCCTGCCTTTTATAATCGTTTATTAGAATTTGAAGCAAATTTTGTTAATTTATTTTTATTTCTTTATCTATTTGAATTAAATTTCAAAAATATCGTGATACAAAACGCAGGCACTGACAGGCGATCTTGGTGGGACTGCAAAATGTTCAGAATACACCAATGAAATCTGCTCCAAGATCTCATAAATTACTCACCAATTAATTCATTTATCATCAAAATCCTCTATTTGAGGGTGTACTTAACTGAGAATTATGTTGATCATATGCTTTTCTTTGTTTGTGGCGATTTTAAAATCTCAAAAAGTTGTACATTTGTAATTCTTAGCATGATGTATTTCCGCATGGTTTGTGATAACATATAGGCTATTTAATAGCATATATGCAGTGCAAACATCAGTTACGACTGCATCTGAGAGCCGCAGGTTCGTGTTTGGAATTAATATCTTTCTATTTCTTGTTAGGTTGTTTTATTTTGCATTGTTAGTAACGCGTAGATATCATCGCGTACGTTGTTATTACTCTTTCAGATTTGTCACTGTTTTAGTTTCAAATGTTCTCCTCTATGTCAAATTTCTTTATTTTTACGTATTTAGTTTTTTACCAGTTCTATTTTTTAAGTAATAAATCGATTTATTTCATATTTTTATTTTTTATGTGTTTCTTGTTGCCTCTGAAAACTTCGAATTCACCATGTAATTATTGTACACGAAAGTTTTAAATCATTGCCTACTGTTTTAATATTTAGACCTGAAAATTTGATTTATTTTGTTTTTTTTTTATTATTAAGAATTGGAGAAATATTTTTAGGAGAAAGAGAAATATTGGAGAAATAGTCATAGGAAAAATTTTTGAATTCACGATTTATGAATAAAATTTTCTTTATAATCCAGTATGTTATTCTTTTCACTTGAGTAACAACTTTTTTTATTGAATTAAGATAAAATATTGATTGATGTATTGATTGATTGATTGAACATTAATAACTGAAATGTTTATGTTGATTTTATTAAAGCATTGTGTGTCCAAAAAACTGCTGTACCGTTTCTATGAGACCCGGTAAGCCGTTGCACTAAACCAACTTATAACTTGGATCTATTTACGTCGTTTATGTTATAAAAATCAACGAAAGCTTAACAAGATCAAATAAAAAAAAGAAAGAGTGACTATAGCTCAATCCTAGTATGCCAACCTATGGCTCCAGTAAGCCAGTGTATCTCGCCGGACAAAAAGCAATTCTTATGTCCAAATTAATAAAAATAATTTTAAAATACATAATCTGATTTAATTACATTGTTTTAGACATAATGAGTCAAGTAAATATTTCATATAGTCTGTTCGATGAAACCCATGCAAATTCATAAGTAAGCCAATAAGCCAGCAATCGAAGCAAGCCAAATAGCCTGACCCGTTTTGCGATTGTTTCGTAAATAAAGTGTGTTTAGTAGATAATGGTAGGGTGTAATTTTTCTGTCATCTTTAGTTTCATTTGCTTCTAAATTTCACGAAAGATTTTGAGAGTCATCCGCTTATTAAAGACCTTCTTACAAATATACAATTGCATGGTATGTTTCATACAGATTACATTACAATGCATACATATATTTTTATTTTATTTAGTAGTTTTTTATAATTTTATTGTATTCATATTGCGATTGATTGAGAAGATTAGATCCATTTATTATTATTTTTTATTTAGTTTTAGTTATTCATTTTATTTTGTTTGTGCTTATTTGAGCCATTTTCTGTTAGTTAGTGCATCACATTTTTTAAATTATTGATAAATGACAAAATTAATATGAAAGATAATATTTGAATAAATAAATATTAAATATTTTCTTAATTTCATTTATTTTAAAATCAGTTAATCACTTGTATTATGTTTCATTAAAAAAGATTAAATATAATATTTGCTGCATGTTATAATAATAATTACATTTTCATTGCCAGTTGCCAATGAAATAAAAATTTGAAATAGTTATAATTTTTTATAATATTACATAACTGATATATAACAGTATAACTAAATTGATAGCATATATAATACATTTAATAATTTTTTATAATATATTACACATGTATCAATTAAGCTATTTTTTTAACAGGTTTGGTGGTTGAGATAGAAAGAACACTTCTTAAAAAATATATTTGTGTACAACCTCTGATTGATTCATAAAGATTTTTATACTAAAATTAAAGATTCATTTCATAGCATATCTTAGCATCACTATTTTTATAATATTTGTGTATATTTATTTATTTATATATACACATGTTTAGATGTATATGTGATGACTTAATTTTGACTAATATAGAAAGTGTTTTGGTTCATTTGTGTTTCATGGATATATATATATGCTGCTGATGGTTACTACTTCATATAAATAAGTATATATATTTATTTATTTATACAATATGTATTGGTGTGTTTTATATTAATGAATGACAGTTTACTATAAAAATGTAACCAAGTAACATGAATGCAATTTTGCCTGTACACAAAATTTGAAGTTTTAATAATTACTGCTATATTAAAATATTCAGGCATCATTGTCAACAAAAATAATAATTTCTGAATAATTAGTAAATTAAAAAAATAAGAAGAAATAACCAAAATATTGTGAAAGTTTTGAAAAAAAATTGAGATGAATAGCATGCTGAGGAGGTTGAGGCTGAAGAAAGAAAAGAAAGAAAGTGAAGCTAGGCAGAAATTGAAGAAGGAACTATTTGCTGTCAACAAGGTTTTTATTTCCCAATCATATTCTTTTTAACATGAGGTGGTGGAATGATAAAATATGGCTGCAGTCCTCCTCTTGTTGCATTGATTCTCACGTGTTCACCTAACAATAGCTTAATATTATGTAAGATGACACAACTATAAATTTATTCAGGGGCCCAATTTTGGCTTTCCATCAAAGCCAACCTGCCTAACTTATGATCCTTTGTTGAGTTTGATTGCCATCGGAACAAAAACTGGAAAGATAAGAGTGTTAGTTTTTTTTTAAAGTTAAAATTAATTTTCATAATGTGTGTATGTATTTGTGCTGTGCCTGTATGTATGTATTTATCGGTCCATACAGGCATGTGTGTTTATACTAATTTAGAAGATGATTGTATTGAATTGTTCTCATTAGGTACGGTTCACCTGGAGTTGAGTTGTCTGGTCAGTTTGACAGGTGTATCAGTGTGGAAGGCCTCAAGTTCGTCAGTGGGCAGGTTGGTTGGTTTGTTGTGTGCTGTGTTGTTTTTGTAGGGTGTGTTGTTGTTTGTTGTGTGGGTTATTTGTTGTGTGTGTTTTGTATGCTGTCGAGTTGTTTGTTGTGTGTTGTTGTGACAATGTTTTATCAGGTCACATACTATTTTGTTCAGTTTAGCTCGTAAGTGATGGTGGTGAGGATGAAAATGATGGGGGTGATGAAGACGTCGATGAAGATGATGATGACACAACAAAAATTAACATCAACTTATATGCACCAAGATTGATAATGATGCCAATAAATTTGATTCCAGATAAATTTTTCTTCGACATAAGTTAATTGTTAATTAAATTTGTTATCTTCTTTTTTAAGTGGCTGTATGTGCGTGCGTGTGTGTGTGCGCGTGTGCGTGCGTGTGTGTGTGCGCGCGTTTAAAAAAATTTTTCGAACCAAGGAATGGAATCACATGAGAATAAATTTTAAATTTGAGTTCGTTTTCAATTGACTATTTCTCATAAGCCAGTGCAATCATTTTCAAATTATCTTATTATTATTATTATTTATATTATTATTATTTATATTATCACTATTAAAGATTTAAATCATTATCCACTTAAAATTTATACCATTATTCAATTTTTTCTAAATTGATAATTAAAGCAGTTTTTTGATTATACAGACAGAACACACGCACACTTAAATACTCACATACACACGCACACACTTATATACTCACATACACACAGGCACAAACATAAATCATGATGATTTTTTCATTAATTCCAAATATTGAAGAAAATATTGAAGAAAAAGTTTATTGAGTTTGGTCTTTATTTTTTGTGTGGCTTGTTTAACGTTTACTTGCTTCTCATTAATTTCTTCATAATTCATTCATTCATTCATTCACGCATTCATTCATTCATTCATTCATTCACGCATTCATTCATTCATTCATTCATTCATTCATTCATTCATTCACGCATTCATTCATTCATTCATTCATTCATTCATTCATTCATGCATTCATTCGATCATTCAATCATGCACACATTGGCAGGCTAGGTTGGTAGCACTGACATCTGACAACAGGCTCTCCATCTGGGAGATTGATGTTAATGTGGAAGACACGCAGATCAAATGTCTTCATATCTTATCTCTCAAGGATTGGTTGGTCTTTGCTTTCATAAAATTTGTTCATTCATTCATCTGTTCATTCGCTCATTCATTTATTCATTCATCAATTTGTCTGTGAATCTGTTTTTCAAACCTTCTATCCATTAATCAGTTAATCCATCCATTCATCTACCAATTCACTCGATTCATGCACTCTTTTATTTATTCACTCACTCACTCATCCATTCATGCAGCAAATTAGATGATGCATTCAATTTTGAGATATCTCCAAGCGGCAATAACGTGATGCTGGTTGGTCGCAGTGGATGCATGCAGATGTTGAAGGTCGGGGAGTTCATTATCCAAGATCAAATGTTCATTCACCTGCACGAGATTATCAAAGGGTTGGTTGGTCGGTTGGTTGATTGGTTGGTTGATTGGTTGGTTGGTTAGTTGAGTGACTGATTGGTTGGTTGATTAATAATTAATTAATTGGTTGGTCATATGCAGCCTGCCAGATGTCAACCAATTGAATGCAGGCAGGGTGGTTTCACTCTCTTCTAGACCGTGCAACGATGATCATGTAAGCTATGTACAATTAGTTGGCACAATTTATGCATTCTGATCGACTTACTAGCAACCAACTCATTAGCATAATTTAATAATTTATTCATGGACCCAGTTCTTGATAGGTTTCAACTCAGGTCTCATCGCAATGTGGGATTGTTCTAAGTGGAGGACGGTCTTTCATATCCGTGCTTCTGTGGTTAGTTGGTCGCTCTTCTTGCTGTTTGATTGGTCGGCTGGTTAGCTGGCTGCTTCATTGATTAATACTTTCATTTATCCATCCATCCATCCATCCGCCATCGAACTAAACACTTAACAGGCAATGGAGCAAGTAAGCTTCTCGCCAGATGGCCTGGAGATGATAAGCTGTCATGTGGACGGTAGCTACGTGGTCTGGCAATGTATTAGCACAGCAGCAGCTGCGACAGCAACTACTTCTGCTACAACCACTACTACTACTGCTGCCACTGCTTCTACAACCCAACAGCAGCAAAATGAACAACCAACATGTCCATATGGTTTGTTGTTGGATTTGCATGTTATTCTCTGTTCTTGTATGTGTTTCTATATATTTGCGATTTTATGCAGTATTTAATGCTTTTTAAAAGTTGAAAAATTTGTTAATTGGAAGTTTGAAAGCTCTTTCAAGTAGTTTCAAACCACTGGAAAGAACAGAGCAACGTTTCCGACTAGTAGAAACTTTATTTCAAATCCGAACTCGCCACTTGAAAATTGAAATGATCATTAACAGAAGTTTATGTACTCACTTGATGCTCAAAAGTATCGGCATCATCGAGTATTGTTTTTCCCCTGTTCAAATAGTATTGGCAGTATCAAGTCTGATACTCGCCATCAAAAGAATTACTGATACAATAGCTAATGCAGAGACTGTTCTGTTCATACAATGTATATATATATTCTTAACAACTCTGGAAATTTGTTTGTAATTTTGTAAAAAATTTGTTTGTAATTTTGTAAAAAATTTGTTTGTAATTAATTCCCAGGACCTTTCCCATGCAAGGCAATCCATTCAGCCAGGTGGCTGCCTGTGAGAAGGTTCGTTGTGCTGATGACTTCTTAACTCGTTTTCGGTATAATGCTATGGAATTTGCATGGAAATAATGCTGTTTTTGCAAAAACAACAACACCACAACGCCAAACAACCAACAACCACTGTAAAACAACAACAACAACCACAACACGAAACAGCGGGGACACGTTCGTAATATTCACCGGAGGGATGCCGAAGGCAGGTCACCAGGACAAAAATACCATCAGCGTCATGAACAACAGTTATGATCACGTGGTCTTCGATATGACGTCACGCATCATCGATTACGTCATCATCTGCAGTGGTTGTCGTGCTGCTAATGGTAGTAATTCCAATGACGACGATGACGATAGCGATGGTTGGTTGGAATTTTTTTGTTCTCGTCGTTGTTGTTGTTCCTGGAATTTATGTTTTGCTGCTGTTGTTGTTATGAGTAGTAGAGTCTGTGGCAGAAGTAGCATTAGTAAGACATAGTAGTAGTAGTAGTAGTAGTAGTAGAAGTAGTAGTTGTTGTTGTTGTAGTAGTTGTAGTGGCGGTTGGGGTAGGGGTAACGAGTTGGGGTACAGGAAGTGTTCTCATTAGTATTCTCCTAGATAAGTTGTTCATTTTATTCCTCCAAAGATGAAGAAACATTCGCCCTTGTAATACTGACCGAAGAGGAAATAGTATTGATTGACCTACTTTCATGTAATTGGCCGACGTTTGACTTACCCTACTTACACTGCATCCAATCAAATCCCATCCTGTGTTCTCATTATTCGTCCAACGTTAAGGAAGTTATATTGGATTCTCTGCATGAATATGAACAGTTTAAAATCAGGGCCTCTCCATTTATTTCCTCTAGGGTCAGTCGGTTTTTATAATTTATATTAATTTATGTTAATTTATGTTAATTTATTCGTTTATTAATTCAAGCCCTGGCCATTATCTGGGGGTCTGAAAGTTGGGGAGCATGGCAGAAGAGGTCTTCTTATGTTTGGGTTGGTGGTTCTTATTGCTGTCGTTCATTCATTCATTTATTCATTCTATCAGTCATTTGTCAGACAGACAGAACAGACAAACATATGCACACATACAGAGACACACACGCACGCATATACAAACAAACAAACACACACAGACACGAAAACGGTTCAGTAAGTCTGTGGTGCCATGGCAAGGCGGATGGCCTCTTGAGGAAGATCTACACGCTGGACACTTCGAAGTATTTCACACTCAGCAGCAGCAGAAGTTACAACAACAATAACAAAATCAACAGCAACAATCAGAACGGTGATGACGATGAAGACGACGACGATGATGGCGATGATGATGATGATGATGTGGCTGATTCTAAAAAGAAGGCAGATGGGTTTTCTAAGAAGAGAGTTGAGGATGATGATCAGGACTGGCCGCCATTTCGAAAAGTTGGTCCGCAACAACAACAACAATAATAATAATAATAAATGTAAAAATTGTTATTATCTCGTTGCAGGTTGGGGTGTTCGACGCATTTTGTGACGAGCCGCAGTTTGGCATACAGCACGTCTCCTCACACAACCAGGGAAGCACGCTGATATGCACTGGGAATGCTGGCCAGATTATGATTTTTGAGTATTTTGATAGGTCAATAGCATCTAAGGGAAAAAATGAAAAAAAAGTTGCGCTAGATGATGCTGCTGCTGCTGTTGTTGTTGTTAGTAATGTTGTTGTTGTTGTTGTTGTTGTTGTTGTTGTTGTTAGTGATGTTGATGTTGTTGTTGTTAGTGATGTTGTTGTTGTTGGGTTTGTTTTGTTTTGGCTAGCGTTGCTACTACTTTTCATGTTTTGTGTTGTTTGGCGATGTTCGATCGAACATACACGCACCTGTCCATACGAACAGCAGACATCAACACTGGACATAGTGGAAGAGAGTAGCGGTTACTCGTGGACGGGTCACGCCCCCATGACCTTCAGAGGTTCATGGTCGAAGTTCATGAGAAATGTCGAGTTAGGGTACCGCCTGACTAATTTGATACAACTAAATCCGCCTGTTCCAACTACTTCTCTGGCCTATCATAGCAAAACAAAATTGTTAGTTCTTTGGCCTATCATAGCAAAACAAAATTGTTAGTTCTTTGGCTGTCATTTGATTGATTAGTTGGTTGATTTATTGCTGGCAGGTTAACCAGTTAATTGATTGAATGAATGAATGAATGAATGATTGATTGATTGATTGGTGGATTTGTTTACTGGCCTCATTCATCAGCATTCATCATCTCAGGTTGTCAGTGGGGACCATGTATGGGTACGCTGTGTTCGATCTGCTGCAAAATAAATCTATCTTGACGAGGAGAACTCTTGCTTCGCCGGGTTAGTTGTTGACTGTCAGTTGGCTGGCTGGCTGGCTGTTGACCACATCATCATCATCATCCAAGCAGGTTCCAACCTATTCCACTTGAAAACCAAATCACTGCACAAATCATTCCGAGAATCGTTCAGAAAGTTGAAGCGAAAAAAATTGTTGAGTACTGGAAGTGGAGGGCCCTGCACTAGGGGGCCTACGACGGGGAGTAAGGGAACGTTCACCACCCAACAACAGGGTGGTACAGGGAGCGGCCAGTCCCCTCGTCTCTCTGCTGCTGCTGCTGCTGCTGCTGAGAAGAACTTGAGTGGTAGTAGTTCACAAGTACTGCAAGAGTTATCTGTGGCCTCATCATCTAGGTTCTAATGACGATGATGCTGGATGATGAGGATGATGATGATGAAGACGATGATAGAAATGATGAAGGCAGTGACGATGATTCATTTATGCATTCCAATCACTTTTCAGCAGTTCTATATTTTTTTCTTTTTCTTTCGTAGACTTGATTCTCCACCGTCATCTTCATCGAAATTCGCTACTACTACTACTGCTGCTGCTGCTGTCGCCACCAGTCAGACGCCCCCTCCGCACTACCACCAACAACAACCTCACTCGTCCGCAAGCATGACACTGCCCGTCAAACAGTCAACCACAGCAGCAGCAGCAGCCAGCACAGCAACCACGTCATCAACGATGACAGCTGCAGTGGCAAAACGAACAAACAGACGAAGGAATTCAGACACGCAGTCCAACCCGGAACTCATCGAATGTAGCAGCAGCAGTAACAACAACAACAACAACCTCAGCAGCGAAACAAACAACAACAACAACTCAAACGACAATTACGATTATTACGACGACGACGATGACGAAGGGGGCGCTAAACGAATGACGTCACGAAAATCTACGCCTTCTAGATCGGCCACCGTGCCTTCCACTCAGAAGTTAGTCAGACCCAAGAGGGTGTCCCACAATTTTAGGAAATCTAATATTAGCAAGAGCGGGGGGGCCAGTGGGGGTGGTGCATTTGTGATGGAGGAACCCAAGCTGACTGAAGTGAAATGTCTGACCTTTGCTGAGACTTACCTCGTGTCTGGTCAGTGCCGATGGTGAAGATGTTGGTGCTTGTTATGACCAGCTGATAATGTATAATGTATCATTTAATAATCACGCCAGGAGCCGGCAAAAGTTTAACGCTGTGGGCGGGTACAAGCGCCGGAACTATTTATATCCACCAATTGCAAGTCAGTAGAGATGAGAAGAAGAAAGAGAGTCAAGTCTCTTGCTGTTTGGGTACTTTTCTTTCGTCTTTTGTCTCTTCGTTATGTAATGCTATATATGATATACATAGTTGTTATACACACACACACACGCACACACAGCCAAGGAAATAACGTTCAAGCATCGATCTCCAGTCATGCAAATCAGCGTCCTCGATAAAACCATGAGACCCGTATCAAGATGTGATTATGACTACGAGGTGGAGGTAGATGGCGCTACCGCCGCTGCTTCTGCTGCTTGTAGTGGTGGTGCTGGGCATTCTGTGGTTGTGGCTACTCAGGAACAGTTTAAGGTAAGTCTGCCGCCTGCTCATGATGGTCTGACGATGATGCTGTCACATTATCTCCATCGTAATTTTCACGATCATCGTCATCATCACCATCACGGTCATCATCATAATCATAACTCGACCATCTGCAGTTGTTTTTGTTGCCATCGTTGAAGCCAGCCTGCAAGTACAACCTGACGTCTGCTGGCGACCACCAGTACAACTATGCCGCTAATGTGGCCAGTTTCATCAGCAGGAGTGGTCAGTTGCTTTCTTGGATTCCATGTCCTCTCTTACTGTCCTGTTGTTGTTGCAGTTGTTGTTGTTGTTGTTGCTGCTGCTGCAGTTGTTGTTGTTGCTGCTGGTTGATTGGTTGGTTGGTTGGTTGCTAGAAAGAGTTATTTTTAGCGTGCAACCATCACGAACAATAATACAACATCACCGCACTGAGCAGACGAGAACTACATGGAGCACAACCTCGTCTGCCTGACGACAACCAACCAGCTGCTCATGTTCAACCTACCACATCTCAAGATACAACTGAAAGTTAACAACGTGACCACCGATGCCAGGTTACAATGCCTTCACGTACTTTCATTTCTTTGCATGCATTCATTTTATTAAGTCCGTGTAAGTAGATAGTCGAACGTCAGCGTATTTTTTATTACTGCTGCCTGCCGATTATTATCATTCCATGTACTTTTTAATGTGAGCGCGAAACATGATACCGACACACACCGCCCCGACCAGCATGCCGCAGTGTAACATCATCACGAACAACGGTGAAGTAGGCACGTTCTCGTCGACCTCTGAACTCCAGTGGATCAGTCTGTCAACTCGTTTCCCGCTGTATACACGCTCAATAATTCAACTGCGCACTAATTATACTCGACCTACTTTGAATTTCGCTGCTATACATCATCAGCAACAGCAGCAGTACAAACAGTTCAAGACCATTCTTACTAATGTTAATGACGGTAGCGCAGCTGCTTCGGCTGCTACTGCTGCCACTACAGCAGCTGCAAAGACCGGAAGCCACGTCGTAGAAGACGGGTGTGGCGTGGGAGGCAGTCAGAGACCTCACGATCTGGTTGCTGGTCACGTGCTTGCCAGCAACCAAGATGGCGCTGCTGCTGCTTCTGCTGCTGGCTGGTCAGATGATGATGATGGAAGAGATAGGTCAGTGAGTGAGTGAGTGAGTGGGTGGGTGGGAGAGTGTTTGTCTCTCATTGCAGTTTTGATGGTAACTGCGATGTTTTGCCTGTTGCTATGTTTCTTGAATTGTAATTATATTCTTGATAGATAGTAGATAGATAGTTGGATGGATGGATAGATAAATAGTAGATAGATGGAAGATGTATGATAGTAATTCAAATTTAAACAGTTGCAACGAGAAGACAAGACATGCAAATGTTGAGTTGAGGATCGAGGGATTGACGACGCCATCCAACAACAACAACACACAATCTTCATCATCCAACAACCTGCAAAACGTCACAGCAGCAACAACAACAACAACTTTCCAGAACAACTCATCCTCATTTAGCAGCCCGCCCACCATTACTTCGTCATCGCTGACGTCATCATCTCCTCAGTCACGTCACGTGACTTCCAATAGAACGGTCATAACGAGGTCGACCGTGGTTCAAGAAGTCAACGGACAAGTCATGAGTCACGTGGCTACTGACGTTGAGAGGATGAGTATGAATGAATAAATGAATGAATGAATGAATGAATGAATGAATGAATGAATGAATGAATGAATGAATGAATGAATGAATGAATGAATGAATGAATGGGTAGATGAATAATTGAGCCATAAGTATTCTTGATAAGTTTGAACATTTCAATAAAAAGCTGTGTTCTTGTTTTTCATTCATTCACTCACTCACTCATTCATTCACTCACTCACTCATTCACTCACTCATTCATTCATTCAAGTTTTCATTCATCAAACACACCATCCATTTTTGAACTTTGACCTTTCTTACGTCACATCCCCGTGTACCTCTCCCAAAAATTTTCCGATTTTTCGTTATCTCTTCTTCTTTCGTTAAAACAATCGGTGGCCGGTCGATTGCTGAAGTTTCACGGGCGGTGTTTTTCGTAAATTTTTGTTATGTAATGTATTTACCATTAATATTAATAATATTATTATTTCATAAGCTTAGCTACTTTTTAAGACAATGTAATGAATAGACGGCATTGAACTGATAATTGCGACGTTATGATTGATCTCTGTGCTCATTTAGATATGCGTGTGTCCTCTTTCTATCTTACCCTGTCTTGCAAGCAATAATAAATACGTGTGACGTGGGCTGTTTCCATCGTTCCTTTGTTAGTTTCATACTTTGGATTTTGAATTTTTATCTTATTCCGATTTTAATTTTCAAGAAAAATCTTTTTTACATAAATTATTTGTTCTTACTCCACTTCTTTTTAATTCTTTATTTAGAAGAAGTTTCTTTCATTTTTATTAATCATTATTTAATTCATTCAATCGTTCATTCATTAATTCATTTGTTAATTGATTCACTAGTTCGTTCATTTCATTCATAATTCATTCATTTGTTTGGTCGTTCATTAATTCATGCATCTGTTCGTTCGTTCGTACATGTTTTCGATCCACTTTTAAATGAAATTTCTCTGATATTTGAGAAATCTTCAACCATTCATTGCACATGATATTTTTCCCTTCAATTTTATTAATATTTTATTATTGCTAATTATCATTATTGTTATTATCATCATTATTAATATTATTGTTATTATTATTATTATTGTTGTTATTATAAATTATTACAGTTTACTTAATAGTATTCATAGTCAGTATAAGTTCTTATTAATTATGTAGCTTATTATAGAGTAGCGATAAGTTAAGTCACATTTCTCCATGTTACTCCTTGCTATATTTCAATTTCTATTTAGACAAACTTTGACTAATTTAGTTATCAAGATCGATCTACACACACAAACGCACACATACAAACACACAAACAAACACACACACATACAAACAAACACACACACACACATACAAACACACAAAAACAAACACGCAGACACACTCACATATGCATGTATGAGTCCGTTATGTACATCTCTGCTGTTGTATATGTACGATTAATTTTATTATGCAGATTAAGAGATGCACGGATGAATTGATGAATAAATGAATGAATTAATTAATTAATTAACGAATGAATTTTTATAGTTTTCCATTAATAACAACATTTTCCTTTCATAGTCAACTTTTTCATTTTAACTTAATTATTTTTTTTGTAATGTTTGTGCCCTGTTAGTTGTATACCTTTTTTCAAATTTATAATAGTTTTTGCCTCTTTTTAAGCTAGATGAAATAAAATAATAACTCACATCTTTTCATTGAAAACAATTTTTCAAGTTAATCTGGTGAGTTTAATCAATGATTTCGATAAATGTTTCCATGTATACACACATTTTGTTTCATTTAGAGTATGTTTGTCAGTACTGTTGATGATTGAATGATTCATGGTTGTTTGGTTGTTTAGTTAATTGATTGATCGATCGATCGATTAAATGATTAACTGATTGATTGATTAATTTTCAACTTATTATACACATTACAAGTTGAAAAAATTATAGATAGACAACAATAACAGCAACTTTTTGTCATCAAATAGATGCATGTTTCTTTATCTATAATATTTGGGACTTGATTCCATTAGCTAAACAGCCAGTGATAAATATATTTCTTCACATAATTTAAACATAATTTATTTACTAATTATAATATAATAATATACTAAATCTTATTGAATAATGTTTTTAACTGATCATAGCATCGTGTTTTCAAGTTTTTCTTTTCATATTTATTTATCTCTAATATATTTTTTATCATTCATATCTTGCTAGGGTGACTTAATTCGATCGTGAAATTGAAACTGTATTTAAATAAATGTATAATTAATTATTATTATGTTATTATATTAAAATATATATTACAACCTATTAATTTAATATATATATATATATATATATATATATGTGTGTGTGTGTGTGTGTGTGTATATAATGTATGTATGTGTAGTTGTGACACACACAGGGGAGGAAGTGTTGTTTGATACTTGTCTAGAAATCATTTGCTATATAATTATTTTTTTGAGTATTTGTTGATTGCGTTTATTATTATTATGATTATAATTATAATTAATAAGAATAATGATATTATTATTTAAATATTTTATTTATTTAAATATTAATAATCATGGTTTTAAATGGCAATAACGCTTTCATATTCTGCACCAGCTACACGCTTTTGACTCAAACGGGTGACGTCGGTGTCATTCATTCCTTCATCCGTTCGTTTGTTCTCTTCAGTCGATCATTCGTTCCTCAATTCATTCACACCAATCACAACTTATTTCTTCATGTTCAATGGAAATAATTTGATCGGAAAAAGTAATTGACAGACAATAATTGAATTTGCAGCTGATTCGCTCTGCTTAATCTTACTCCTTCTCTCTCTCTTTTTCTCTCTCTTTTCTTACTTTCTTTCTTTCACTCTCTTTCTCTCTCTCTCTCTCTCTCTCTGTTATATTTTCTAGGTACAGTATTTTTTAAACTCGATTTTCTACGCGTTACGAGTAGGTTTTCATTAAAATTTATTATGGCTTATAATAATTATTGTTCTTCTTATTATTTTTATCTTTATTAATATTACTATTGCCATGTTAGTTTTCATCAGCCATATGCAACAATTCATAGTGGAGCACCCGTAGAAGAAATTTTTTGAAAAAAAAAGAAGTTTGTTCACGTCTGCTTCGTTGGATGGCTGGGTGATTATGAACTGGGAACTGTGATGTGACGATGATGGTGATGAGGATTGCGGTGATGATGATATTATTATTATTATTATTGTTGTTGTTATTGTTGTTGTTGTTATTGAATGTGCGATTATTATATTATTGTAATCGTCGACTCGTTATTTCCACTGCACGTTCAAATCATTTGGGAGAATTTCTGCTTGCCAGCTGGCTAGGTAGGTAGGTTAGTCCTCATGCCATTGTGAACATCTCATCTATTTACATTGTTTGTTTTTTGTTCATTCGTTCGTTCGTTCATTCACTGACTCGTTCATTCGTTCGTTCGTTTGTAATTTGTTTTACAGCGAAATCACATCTCCACCTACAGCACGGAACTGACATGTGTTATATACACATATACACAATATATAAGGAGAAGAATTAATGGGGTGAAAATGAATGAGTGAGTGAACAAGCGAATGAATGAAAGGATGAATGACTGGATCGATGAACGGACGGTTGGATTTAATATTGTTAGCGATACCATGATGTAATAATGATAGGGTTGGTGCATGTCGTCTGTGATGTTGGAAACTGCTATATCGAGTAGCAGGTATGTCTGTAGTACTCTGCATTGATGTGTGTGTATGTGTTGTGTGTGTGTGTTTGTATGTGCTGTGTGCGTGTGTATGTGTTGTGTGTGTGTACGTTTTGATGCTAATTATAAAATAATCTCAGTTCATTAAAAAGCTTCATAATGATTTATACGTGCTCAGTGGCAAATTGCATGCATGTGTGTGTGTGTGTGTGTGTGTGTGTGTTTGTCTACATGTATGTTTGCTTGTATGTTTGTTTGTATATGTATGCATGCATGTACGTATGTAATATTAGTCATAATTATTATCATTTTTGTTTGGCTTCATTTAACAGACGGCCACTCATTAAATTTTGAAATTTCGTTGAAAACATTTTTTCGAAATAATGTTTGAGGTTTGTTGTTGCTGGTTTGGTATTTATTATTATTATTATTGTTGTTGTTGTTATAGTTATTATTATTAATCATAGTTGAATGGTGATTAGGATGGAAGTGCTGTGTCAACAGTGTTTGTGGGTGTTTGGCGTATTTTTTAGAGATCCACCCATTATTTGATTTATGTCAGTGGGTCGTTGTTGTTGCTGATGTTGTTGTCGGTGTTGTTGTTGTTGGTGGTGGTGTTGTTGCGTAATATTTAATATTATATATAAATTCAAATTTTATTCATCAAGTCCAGCTACAAGTTTTTTGTTTCTTTTGTAAATGCACAGATAAATGTACGAACGGTGAATTTGTTGTACGAACGGATAGTGAATGTGTACATGAATGAATGAATGACAAGCAGACAGACCAACACACACATACACACACACGCCCGCGCAAACAAACAAACATTTACTCACATTAATTTCAAAAAATTTTCTAGGTACCAACCATTCTTTCCGCAACTAATGATGACGTTGTCGATGACGTCATTGAGAATGATGATGATGAAGATGATGAGGAAGATGATGACGAGGAGGATGAAGATGATGAGGAAGATGACAACATGCACTCAGGCAGTCGTGTACGTATGCTTCCATGCCTTGTTATACCTGTACTCTATGCATATATCTATGAATGCATATGTATATGTGTGTGTGTATGTATGTGTGTGTGTGTGTGTGTATTTGTGTGTGTGTGTGTCTGTATTCGCACGTGTGTCATTCTCCATAATTAAAAAATTATTGCCATTGAACTTCTAATTAGTATAATATAAAAGTCACAATTAATTAACGACACGTATGTACGTGCGTATTGTGGTGATGAGGCGAAGGTGATGATGACGATGATGAAAAGATGACG